TGACCTGAGTCAAAGGCAGACGCTTAATGACTGAGCCCCCCAGGCGCCCCAGAACCCTTGTGTTTTAACCATGGTATCTTTGTGTACGAGAACCACAGTGACATCTCAACAGCAAAGAAGAGACATTTCATGGAAAGTCATGAAATGCAAAGGCAGGAACCGTAGCAGGCTTAACACCTAGAACGGGGCATATAGACCCCTCAGGAACCAAAGCAGCTGGCTGCTGTCTTTACTCTCCTTCCCCTCACTCTCTTTCCAGGGATGTGTGCATCTCATCGCTCCTCCCTGAAAATCTGCTCATCCTTCCTTTGTTCTGTAGACGAGCTTCCCGGTGCATCTCCATTCACAGGGCCCAAGATGGTAGCCCAAAATGGTCATCTCGACCCCCTTGTTTACATATCGTAAATTCCTGGGAGAGAGTCTATTTATTCCTCTGTGAAACAGATTTCCAACCAGGTCCAGAAAGCTGTGGCCACAATAGACGGATCATGTAGTACAACATGGCTACAGGAATCTAACCTGGCTGTGTACATGATGCGGGGACGGGAGGTCCTCAGAGGAAGGGGTCTCAATTTTGTAGGCTCTCAAGTAGGTCTTCTTCCTTGTGAGGGTGTCTATTTCCAATAGCTCAGGAGTACAGATGGGCAAAAGATAGATCTTAGACTCTGTAGGTGTGTGTGTGCTTATGATGTTATTGTGATGTCCCCCGCCATATTTTTCTCATGGTGAATTGGCTCCAAAGCTAAAATTCATAAATGATTAATCATCATTGACATGATCATCATTATTTTTCAGTATAATTGATGTATAATAAGCTACATATATTTAAAGTATACAATTTGATAAATTTCAACATATCTATATATACACCCATGAAACCAGCACTACACAATCAAGATAGTGAACATAACCGTCTTCCCTAAAAGTTTCCTCGTGCCCCATGGTGATACATCTTTGAGGCCCACTCCCTCCCCTAAACAACTGCTGACCCACTTCCTGTCACAATGGATTCACTTGCGTTTTCGGAAGTTTTATGTGAATAGAACCATAGAGGACATACTCTTTCTGTCTGGCTTCCCTTAATTATCGTAATTATAAGATTCATCCTTGTTGTTGCAGATACAAATAGTCTCATTCCTCATTGCTGAGTTCATTGTACTCCATGATATGGATGCTTTCTTAAACATTCTCTAAACAGAGATTGTCAGGGTTCACAGGGACATAGTAAAAGTTCACACCGATTACCCGCAAAACTATATGGCGGGATAGATCTTAGCCAAGTGCGGAATAAACACCTCACTCAAGTTGCTAAAAGTTAGCAGAGCTAATTATGTTGTGTTTATGCGAATGATTAACAAAGACTATGGATTGCAACGATTTCTAGGCAGTGTGAGCACGTTTCTGCTACTCAGCAGGAGGCTCTGAGGATCTGAGGGTGGGAGGGAATCAGCAGGGAGGCACCGGGGGGAGCACAGGTCTTAGTTCTAGCCCAGCTGTGTGACCCAGGAGAAGTCACTTCCCATGCCTGAGCCTCAGTTTCCTTATTCGCCAAATAGGGAAACTGGACAGTGCTGTCTCAGCCTTAGCATTTGTACAATCTCCTTGGCTTGACAGTGTCAGCCCGTGAGCTATCTTCCCTCGGCTCTGCTGGATCTCATCAAACCCACTGCCAAGGATGAGCCCTCTTGTCCATTTTCACTGGGAACTCAAAGTGCCTGGTAGGGGGTAAGTTTTTTTCCACTTAGTGTCCAAATACAGGAGGCTTCTTTCAAAAGCCCTGAGCTCCCAAATTCTAGTTCTGTAGCCAGCTGCAGCTCTTGGCTTGGCATTCATCCTTGGCACCGAGAGAAAGAAGAGCCCTCTTCTGGAGCGTCTCAGCCCGGGGTTCCTTCTGCAAACTCGCTGCCCGGGGGCCAGCTTCCTCTGTCTCTGGTCACTCGGAAGTGCCCTCCCCTCCTGTATTCTCCTGAGATTTAGCAGGGAGGCAAGAACCAGGGCTTAAAGAAGGGAGGATTTCAAGGAAGGGAGGTCGGCATGAGCCCTCGAGGCAGGGCGATGGAGGAAGGGGGGATGCAGGATCGCTGTGGCAGAGATGGATGGAGACAGGAGCCACATCACCTCAGCACCTTCCAGATATGCCCAAGGTCCACGTCATCACACATTCCAGACATGCCCAAGTGCACGTGGAGCATCCATTCCTCCCTCAGCATCCACCTGCTCTGTCTCCTTAGGTCTCCACAGCAGCCTGAGGACCAAGGCAACCCACTTCCCGTTTACCCCCAACCTCCACCCATTTCACAGAGAGGGAAACTGATGTCCCAAGGGACTCAATGGTTTCCCGCAAAATGGAAAATCAGGGAGCTCAGCCACAGCCTGTTCGGGCTTCAAACCCCAAAGCCTGCATGCCAGACACTGACTGAGCACCTGCCAAGGAATCAAAGATCTGTAATCCGTGGCCTCTTCTTTCAGACACCTCTCTCTCCAATAGCAAAGGCAGAGAGTGGAGTTTCCAAAAGAGGGGCCAAGGAAGGGCTGTAGGCACGAGGAGAGGGGGCAGGAGGCTCCTGCTGCAGGGAGCGAGGAGAACCTTGCTTTTCCTCTGTCCTGCCCTTTCTGCCAGCCCGCCGAGCAAGCTGCCCATAGAAGCTGGGGAAGACAGACAACTTAAGTTTCTCTTCTTGTTTTGAGTCGTGATCAAAAAGTACAGAAAAAGGAAATAAGCAAAAGATATTTAGAGGGAGGAAATGCCCTTGGGCTTTTTTCTAAAAATTTCTGTTCACACTAACTTGCACTTTTTTTTTTAACTTTCGTAAACCCTTTAATGCATCCTAGCTGAAGAAGAGACTGAGAGACTCTGAATGACTGGCTTTCTGGTCTGGTACCCCAAAAAAGGCTTAACTGTGATTATACCTGCAGTGGAAATGAGTTCACTGAGTGGGGATGGAAGTTACTCTACTTCACACTGTTCTCAAGTGTTTGAAATTTTTCCATGAGCCTGTTAGTCTCCAGAGACATCCACATCCAAGTAATGGGCGGGGGGGGGGGGGGGGGGGGGGGGCGGGGTCTGAGGGCAGTGGCTGGGGAGGAATAGCAGACAGAGGCCATTGGTTGGTGTTGCGGGGCAATTGTGGAGAGTTTCACAAGCATCCAAAGACCTGAGTTCGAGAACTGGCTCCAACGTCTAGTGCTCTAATACCCGGGAGCAAGTCAGCAAGTCACTTAACCTTGTGCAGGTACCAATTCTCCATCCGTAACACGGGACAGTCATCATAATGGTAATAATAGCAACCATCCTATCTCCCTTCGAAAGTAAGGAGCAAGTGAAACAATGTGAGAGTGTGAACATGCACGCAGAAGTGAAGTATTTCACTCTTATTATTACGAGGCTCTTCAACTATCTGAAAAACTGCTCCTCCTCTCCTCTCCCCTTCCTTGCCTGCCAAGGTATTAAAAACCGATAAAACATCCATTGAGAGAAAGTGTTTCCAGACCCAAATAATTTCCACGGGTACAATTTGCCCGAAATGCAAAATTTCCTTATACACTGAAGCTACATGAGACATTTTACAAAGTCTTTGAGTGAGCTGTGATAAATTGTCATTATCTCAGATTTGTAGGCATTTGGGGGGGGTGCCCGGAGCTGCTCAAAACAACTGATAGTTGTACCATGTACTTCACGGCTGCCCGTTGCTTCCTCTGTTTTTTCTCTGCGCAGTCTGTTGCTCATCACACTCCCTCCAAGGCAGCACGCTCCTCTTACCTCTGACCGCCTGTTTGCACGGACCCCACTTTTACGCATCAATATAATCCTTAAGACCTGGTGTGGAGCCTCTGCAGACAGAGGAGGAGGTAGCTTTGGTGAAGAAGCCCAAAGAGCACATGTTTTGGGAGGGAGCATGAGAAAATCAGCAGAGCAGCAGGGCATTCCGACTGCAACTTTGCCAAAGATTGGGAAAGCATGAACACACCTCCCAGCAATCTCATTTGGCAGGTTGTGGAAACCAGGTCTTTAGATGGATGCTTCACCTTTAAACAGGACAGTTTGGTTCATATATAATGAGCCTAGAATTACATGCAAAGTTGCCATTCTTTATACTTTTCTGTCTGAATTGTCTTGATGTTTTACTTTCCCCTATATAACCCTAAGCCAAAGAGAAAATGAAAACAATTAGGTAGCAGCCGCTTGGGATGAGGTACATGACGGGTAACAAGCGTGTGGTCGGTCATAGGGACATTTACTGTGGCATGTAATCTGGTAGAACATCTGGAACACAATCCCCTTTTACAGATGAGGAACCAGGGACCTGGGGCCAAATTTCACTTTTTCTCTCTTTGACAAAGGGGTATGTAACTTGCATGTATGTCTTTACTTAAGAAAAGCAAATACCCCAAAATCCCCAGTTGCAGAGCTGTGCGTATGATGGTCACTTACTCTAGATGGATTCATAAAAAAAGGAGGGCTGACTCAGAATCTCTTTCTCTATCAGCCCTTCTCATGCACAGATTTGACTCGCCAGTTTTGCAAAGCAAGGCACTCCACTCATTCTATTCATCCCCCAACACCACTGTCCTCCAAATAATCAAGTGGTTGAGCAGGGTTGATCTCTCTGAAACTTGAAAGGGTATTTCTTTGAGTTGCTTGCTATGCAGAAATCAGCTGAAAATTATTCAGAACAATAGTGGTTTTCCCTCTGTGCAATGACTAGACCCAAACAAATTGATCCCTTCTCCCGCCTCCGCCTCGCCTACAAATCCCCCACAAAACAGCCCACCACCAGATTCCTCTCCTTCTAGGGCTGATGGAGGCTCTGAAAGACACCTGCCGGCCCAGCTCCCTCTTCTGGTTTTAGTATCCGTCAGTCTAAATGCCAGTGAAACAGTAGCCGGGACTGGTTTGGTTTATGTTCTGTTCTTTTTTTTTTTTTTAAATACAAATAACATTTCTTTCAATATAAATATACAGTTACATGAAAAAATAGAAAAAAGCACACCGATTGTGATTACTGTCCAGCAGGAACATGTTTTGTCGCTAATAGAGTCAGAGATCACATTCTCCATAAGAACACGTTATTTTAGCCTATTTCTAGGACACTTTCAAACATAAGACCTTCCTTGTCTGACAGTCAAATCCTCTTTGAGATGATTTAAATATGCCAGTGATGAGTGTCTAACATATCCAGGAATCAAGGCTATTGAAGTGAGCTAGAATCTGACTCCAAGAATACAACTGTCAATACACGGAAACGACATAAATCACTTCATCAGACTGTGAAAATACATCCGATTTTAAATCTCCAGCAGGTAATCAATTACTTACAAAAACAAAACAAGACACAACAGCTCAGGTGTGTTTCTCCTGACTGAAGCTGAAGTGCCCTGCGGCAGTCCTGGGTTGGGGGGGGCGTGGGAAAGGGGGCGTCCCCCGCCCCGGGGTATACCAGCCCGGGCCGGGAGGCTGCGAGTCACTTGGACCGAAGAGTGCCCAGGATTCTGTCCCAGTGCGTGAAGTAAGGGGCAAAGTTGCAGTTGAACTGCGAGTGGTGCAGGTCGTGGTGCGTGACGCCGCCGTACCACCCGAAGGGCACCAGTCTGTGCGTGGACCAGGGGAAGTCGTAGCCGGAGTGGTCCTCCACCGACAGCCAGATGTTGAGCACGTGGAACACCAGGACGGTGAGCGGATGGCACTGCAGCAGCGTGACATTCACCGCGTCGAAGAAGCCCAAGGAGAACAGCTCCCAGGCGCTCATGTACTGCGTGGCCAGGGCGAACGAGGCCGAGTTGCGGTGGTGCATCTTGTGGAAGGTGCGGTAGAGCCAGGGCACCTTGTGATGGAGCACGTGCCACGCGAAGAACTCCGCGTCGAAGAGGAGCAGGCAGCCCAGGACGTGGCGCGCCAGCTGCAGCAGCTCGGGGGCTTCGCGGGGCCAGGGGGCCGGGCCGCAGGCCCAGGACAGCAGCGTCAAGGGGAGCACGAACACGGCGTGCTGGTAGAGCGTCTGCCCCAGGCAGGGCAGCATCTGCCGCGCCGTCGGCGAGAAGTCCGGGTGGATCTTGTAGCGCCGCAGCGCGGGCACCCAGGGGCACAGGACGTCCAGCACCACGAAGGGCAGGCAGAAGCCCACGTACGTGCTGATGGAAAAGATGACCGCGAACAGGGGCGACTGCGTGAGCGCGTCCCGGGCGCGCAGCTGGTCCCAGAGCGGCTGCAGGACCAGCTGGTCCGAGCTGCCGAGGATGTGGAGCTCAGTCGTGTTGCGGCAGCTCATGGTGAGGCTGTGCCGGGGCCGCTCGGGTCCCGCCGACTTTTCTTAGCGCCGCGGCCCCGCCCCGAGTGATGTCAGCCGCCTCCTCTCTCCCCCATTCCCGGCCGGGCCGAGCTTGCAGAAATAAACAGCCCCACAGAGAGCCGCGCTCCGTTGCCAAAATGAACGTCTACGACGGCGCTGAATCGACTTTTCTATGCGCAGTATGTAATGTTACTTACTAACTTTTTACGTGCACGCACATTTATGTTCCGTTTTTTCTTTTTCCAACCGCTGTACCGTGTACGCGCGATACAACGCGCAGATCTTCAGTGCGGTGTCTACAAATTTTGACACCTTAATTCCTCTGCCACTATCACTCCCGAACAAGGTAGAGAATGTTTGCGCCACCACGGCAAAGAGCTCCTTCTCAGTCGGTGCGCAATCGCTTGTATTTTTTAAATGCATTCATATAATTGCGTCTGTGTGCTTTCCTAAAGAGGCAGCCATCACTGCATTTTTTAAAACTTTTAAAAGCGACGTACCTTCTGTATTTCCGATCTTTCTGTCGGCACACCTCGTATCGATCTAACGATCTGCGAGCGGCACACCGACCTTCCCGCAGGGGGAACCGTCGGGCGCCCGGGCGCGCGCAGCGGCGATCGGCGATCGGCGCGGGAAGTCGGAGCGGACGCCCGGCGGGACCCGAACCTCTCCGGTTCCAGCGTCTCGGAGCGCAGCTCTCGCCGCCGGCTCGCCGCAGGCTCCCGGTCTCACTGCGCGCGGACTCCCCACGCCGGGTCCGCTCACCCGGGCGGCCGCTCGTTTCTTTCACCGCGGCGAGCGCTGAGCCCAGACCAGCGACCCCGACCAGGAGGCACGGCGACAGGGCGGGGACCGGGGCTGTGAGGCTTCAATTAAAAAAAAAAAAAAAAAAGTGCTGGGTTTTAACATCCACAGCCTGCCCGGATCTGGCTACAAAGACGCTATGTCTCAATCTGGGATGGAAGCGATGAAAGCAGTAAACCACCCGCCTTGTTCCTCAACGGAGCATCCGTGCATCCGTGCGCGGGACGCTGTGCACCGAGCGGAGGAGGCGCGCCTACCCTGCGCTCCTCTCGGCGGGCTTCGCGGGGCCAGGCTGCCGCTGGTCCTCAACCCGCGTTCCCCCGACCCACCCCTGGCGCCCAGAGCCCGACTGCGTGGCAACCCCCCCTCCACCTCCGCGGCTCTCGGGGGACCGAGCGGGAGGAGGTCGGTACTGGGCGAGCTCGGGGGTCACCGGGGACCCGCGTAGAAAACCACCTCCGCCTTAGACCCGGGTGGCTGCCACGCGACACAAGAGTCCCCTAGAGGATAGAAGTTGGGGACGAACACTTTGAAGGCGGGCCCACTCGGAACAAATTCTAGCTTTTCCTCCTGTGTCTGTGAGGTTGGGGTACGGCGCTTCACTCCCCGGAGGCTTTGCATTTTCTTGTCCACCTCCCACCCCGCTAAAGGAAAGTAAGAGTAGCCATCGCATGAGGTTATTACAAGCATTAAAATGGGAAAACAACAACAACAAAAATAACACTACAACGTCTGCCAGGCATTAGCTAAGTGTTTCATTTGAAGGGATTTCATGCGTGGCTGGGAACCCCAAGCTGCCGAGAAGAGGCATCGCGATCAGTGCTGTGGCCCTTACAGAAGCAAAAGCAGAGCGCTTAGCACACAGCACACTTGCAAAGTAAGACGCATATTATTTTAAATTTGTGCTCCACATTTTACCTAAAGAACCGAGGAAGTTTACAATTAAATAAAATCGTGTAAGGAGAAATAAAAGATGTAAAGCCACGTATTAGGAGGACCGGTATATGGACCTAGAAATATAACAATATATAGGGTATATATATATGATATATCATAAGCCAGTTCATAATATTTAATGATATATATATTTTTTAAGGATTTTATTTATTTATTTATTTGACAGAGAGAGGGAGAGAGACAGTGAGAGAGGGAACACAAGCAGGGGCAGAGGCAGAGGGAGAAGCAGGCTTCCTGCGGAGCAGGCAGCCCAATGCGGGGCTCGATCCCAGGACCCCGGGATCATGACCCGAGCCGAAGGAAGACGCTTAACGACTGAGCCACCCAGGCGCCCCATATTTAATGATATATTAATATCTAATAATGTATCGGGTGTTATACACACGCCCTATAACATATATCATAAGCCGGTTCATAATATTTAATGATATATTAATATCTAATAAGGTATTGGGTGTTATACACACACCCTGTAACAAACCAGTTCATAATTCAGAACTTCCTAGGTGGCCTTTGTCCCTGAACCACCACTGATGGAATACACATACTCCCTAGATGCCCATTCTCTGGGGCCTCCAGCCTCTGGCTATACTGCAGCTTTGTTTTCTTTGAAACTTCAGTGTGGGGTGCCTGGGTGGCCCAGATGGTTAAGCCTCTGCCTTCAGCTCAGGTCATGATCCCAGGGTCCTGGGATGGAGTCCCGCATCGGGCTCCCTGCTCCTTGGGAGACTGCTTCTCCCTCTGCCTCTCTCTCTCTCTCTCTCTCTCTCTGTCTCTGTCTCTCATGAATAAATAAATAAAATCTTAAAAAAATGTTTATAAAAAAAGAAACTTCAGTGTGCTGAGAATATTGATATTCTACTTGTGTATTGATGAGACAAAGGTTCAGAAACAGCTCCGAGTTTCTTGACAGGCAATGCAAACATGGAAAGAGGGTGGATTTTCTAACTGCTTGGATATCTGGCTGGTAGAAGAGCTGGGTACGATGAGGCCCCTGGCCTCCCTTGCTGGTGAATTTCTAGCACATAGACAACCTGCCGCTTCTAGGCTCCTCTTCAATCTTCCCCTCCTCCAAGGCTCTTTCCGATTCACCTTTAGGGCAACCCAGGAACTTCTTCCTTTCCCATTCCTGGCAGACAAGACTTGCCCTTGAACTTTGCGTGGCTCCAGCAGCATCTCAGAGAGAAGAGGAAGGGCTTGGTCTCCTTCGCTCTTGGACCCCTCAGTGCTCCAAAGGGACTGTCAGAGCTCACTTTCTCAGACTTACAAGTGAATTCTGCTTAGAGGTAAATTATCACTCAGATTTGCCCTCCAAAGAAAATTAACTCAGTCTTCAAACTTCCATTCAGCACACACTGTCCGCTTCTTGTGGTGTCAGCCATCACGCTCCGGTGCTTTGGATACTCCTGTGGATTTTTTAAGTGGGTGGCATTGGCAGACTTGCTTAATTCGGACTTAGCTACTAGGTTGCTGTCCGGACTGCCCCTTTGAGCCCCCAGCCCCACCCAACCCATTCTTTGCCTTCTTCAGTTCTTCCATCGTCTATCACTAAGCCTGTTAGAATACTCTCCACGGGCCGGTTGCTTAGAGCCCTGTGCAGCAAGATCCAGAAGCCTCGGCCGCCCCCTGCTTGGCCCAGGCTCTCCCCTCTTGCTCACAGCACTTTGAACAGGCATCCACCGGCGTCCCTGCCTTTCCAGCCCATCAGCTGCCCGGGACAGAAGTCTGTGTCCCATATACAAATGCAACCATCCCGGGGAAAGTAGTCAGTTAAAATCTCATCGTTGTCCACTCGATGTCATAGGGAGGATGCCAGGAAAGGTAAGCGCAACATTACGGGCAACCAAGACAGCACCACTTAAATGGACCCAAATGAAATCGAACCCTGTTTCGTCTTGACTAAAGTGGTACCATTTCCTCAACTGGCAAATGTGCACCTTTAAGCACTTCATGAACACAAAATATATTTAACAGCTTTCTATGTGAATAGTTCTTTTTAGGGCACAGGTACTGTCTTTTAGGATTTTTTTCTTCCCACAGTACCAAGCATTATACCTTGCACATAGCGAGCATTCAAAAGACATCTGTGGACTCAATGCTTGTTTTTAAACATACTAGCTCTAAATCGAAGCTAAAAAGTAGTTTTGTTTTGTTTGTTTGTTTGTTTTTGGCTAGAGCACTGCTTGGTGTGGTTTAGCTACTTATCTACTGGGATGGTTTTCCATAGAAGGGGGTATTTACCGAGCTCTGGTGGTATTAGGACTTCAGCCATACTATTGCTTGTGCTTCCCCAGTTGACTTTGACTTCTTATGTATCATTTTTAAGTTGGCATGGTCTTTCTGACAAGGTTGGAGGACGGGATTCTTTTCTTCTCCAGCTACCCCAGAGATCAAATCATTTCTATGAGTGCAGCAATCGAGTCTGTGCATATTTAACACAATCTCGAAGTTATTGGGTATTACTCAGCAGAAGACTTTGGATACTGCCCCCACCCCCACAAACAGAACACGTACTTGGATTACCAATGACATCCTCTCTTTTTCTATGTGACCTTTATGGCTTTTTTCTTTCCAGAATTAGAGAGGATGTTCTTTGATCTGAACTGAAACACATACTGCCAGATATCAGAGATGAGAAGTGGGTTATAATGCCTTACAGCTGTAACACATAAGACTCACAGAGGATGGAGTAATCTCAAAGATTAATCTCAAAGATTAAAATGTAATCCCTTGAGGCACCTGGATTGTTCTGTCGGTTGGGCGGCTGCCTTCGGCTCAGGTCATGATCCCGGGGTCCTGGGATGGAGCCCCAAGTTGGACTCCCTACTCAGCGGGGAGCCTGCTTCTCCCTCTCCCTCTGCCTGCCGCTCCCCCTGCTCCCCTCTTTCTGTCAGATAAGTAAATAAAATGCTTAAAAAAATGTAATCCCTTGTTATAAAAATGAAGGCTTCTTGTCAGAAAAGTCAGGACTAGCTAGGGTTGAATAGAAAGTTACAGCCAACATGAAAACAGAATCTTTTGTCAGTTTCAAGGTAGATACTTCTACAAAAGGACTTTGGTGTTGGAATGAGGCATTGAAGTTTCACTTATAGGTAAGTTTCCAAAAGACTCAGAAAACACTACTTACCCACACCAAAACAGAAGATACTGATGAAGAATGTGGGAGATGTTAGCTCCCCCAAGAGACTCCTTGACACCCTATTACACACAGATGCTGATTCATATTTGGTTTCAAACACTTTCTCTTTATGTTTTTTATCCATCCACCTAAGTGTGTG